TCCTCACACCCTGCTTCCTGTAAACACTCTATCCCATTCTCTCAGTTCCTCCATCTCCGTCTCATATGTTCAGATGAGGCCAACTTCGACATGGGAGCCTCTGAAATGTCCACCTTCTTCCTCAACCAAGGATTCCCCACCTCTGTTGTCGACAGGGCCCTCAACCAGGTCCGACCCATCTCCTGCACTTCCACTCTCACCCCTTCTCTTCCCTCCTGCAACAGCGATAGGGTTCCCCTTATCCTCACCTACCATCCCACCAGTATCCACATCCAGAAGATCATCAGATGCCATTTCCGCCACCTCCAGCGATATGCCACCAGTAGATACATATTCCCCTCCCCTCCCTTGTCCGTCTTCTGCAGGGACCATTCCCTCCGGGACACCCTGATCCACACTTCCTTCACCCCCAACACCTCCCCACAGCCCTATGGCACCTTCCCCTGTAACCAACGAAGGTGCAACACCTGCCCATTTACCTCCTCCCTCCCCAGTATCCAAGGGCCCAAACATACCTTCCAGGTGAAGCAACACTTCACCTGCACTTCCCAGAATCTAGTCTACTGCATTCGCTGCTCACAATGTGGTCTCCTCTACGTTGGGGAAACGAAGTGTAGACTTGACTGCTTCGCAGAACACCTACGTTCTGCCCGCAAAAACTACCTGTTGCCTGCCACTTTAACGCACCACCCTGCTCCCTGACCAACATCTTTGTCTCTGGCTTGCTACAGTGTTCTAGAGAAACTCAACGCAAGCTGGAGGAACAACACCTCATTTTCCGCTTGGGGACCCTACAGCCCTCTGGACTCAATACTGAGTTCAATAATTTTAGGGCTTAAACTCTCCCATGTCCCAGCCCCCTACCCCACACACTAGGCCTTGGTACCACATAGCCTACTATTACACACCCCTTGTTGTTAGTCACTAACAGTCCCCATTAACAACTATTCACCCTCCCAACCTGATCGTTAGCAACTCTTTTGTCTGTCCAACTGTCTTTCTTTCTCTTTGGGCTCTTTCCTATCGTTTACTCCCTACCCCACCCACCTCCCAATTTTCTGCATATAAACTGACATTTTCCCAGCCACCATCAGTTCTGAGGAAGGGTCACCGGACCCGAAACTTGAACTCTGTTTTTTCCTTCGCAGATGCTGCCAGACCTGCTGAGCTTTTCCAGCAACTTCGGCTTTGCTGCAATACAGAGAGTTGTTACATACTCCATCAGTGAAACAATGTGTTTTATTTAATCAATCTGGTTAGTTAATCAATGCTTCTGCAAGTCTGCTCTATGTAAATATGATTGCTGCAGGTATTGAATACCTGGTCAGCAACAGAGCACTGGCCAAGTTCTGAACTTCCATCATTTTAAGAGCCCTACCTCAGAAACACCATTTAATCCTCAAAAATGAAGAATACTTTGCATTTACATAGTATCTTTCATAACCATCCCATTTGCAATTTCAGGCCACCCAAAGTGTTTTAAGCCAATAAAGTAGTTTTGAAGTACAGCTTATTTTGCACACAGCAAGCTTCCATAAATAGCAATATGATATTAACCAGGCTCTCTGTTGGAGACATCGATTCAGAGATAAATACTGCCCAAGACACCAGAGAGAACACTCTGGCTCTTCTTCATAAAGCATCATAGAATGTTTTACATTCACCCGAGGGCAAAAGGTACCTCAGTTTAACATTTCCTCTTAAATACTACATCACTGACAGTGCAGTGATCCATTGATAGTACTAGCATGTCAGTGTAGATTTTGTTTGTTCAAGGCTCTGGAATAATGATCAATAAGTGGTCACTGGATGACTGACAGGCATAGATTTCAGCTTCACTTCATAAGCATAACAAAATAACAATGAGAAGGCATATTATCCCAATCAACCTGACCATGGAATGGATACACACTGCATTCCAGGGAATGATGATTGTACCAATTGGTTGCAATGCTTCAAAAGAAGTTGCTGTTGTCTCTCTGCAATATCTCTAGCATTGTGCACAAATGACAATTCAAATATATTCCTGGTTCACATGAATTTCAAAACGGATATGATTGAAGAATTCTGGACTGGACTGAACTCATGGTAAAATGAATCTTTTCAGTTGTTTCCAATATGTAAAACTATCATTTCAATTACAGTGAACTGTATCTCGAGTCATACAGTCATAGAGCTGTACAGCATGGAAACAGACCCTACAATCCAACTCATTTATGCTGACCAGATATCCTAAATTAATCTAGTCCCATTTGTCAGCATTTGGCCCGTATCCCTCTAAACCTTTCCTATTCATGCACCCATCCAGATACCTTTTAAATGCTGTAATTGTACCAGCCTACACACCATTTCCTCTGGCAGCTCATTCCATACACGCACCACGCTCTGCGTGAAAAATTTGCCCCTTAAGTCCCTTTTAAATCTTTCCTGTCTCATCTTAAATCTATGCCCTCGAGTTTTTGACTCTGCTACCCTGGGGAAAAGACCTTGGCTAATCACCCTATCCATGCCCCTCATGATTTTATAAACCTCTACAAAGGTCACCCACAGCCTCCGACACTCTAGGGAAAATAGCCTCAGCCTATTCGGCCTCTCTCTATAGCTCAAACCTTCCGCCCCTGGCAAGATGCTCGTAAATCTTTTCTGAACCCTTTCAAATTTCACAACATCTTTCCTATTGCAGGGAGACCAGAACTACACGCAGTATTCCAATAGTGACCTAACCAATGTCTGTACAGCCACAACATAACCTCCCAACCCCAATACGCAATGCACCTTCCAATAAAGGCAGGCATACCAAACACCTTCTTTACTATCCTGTCTATCTGTGACTCAAGGAACTACAAACCTGCATTCTCTTTGTACTGTAACATTCCCCAGGACCTTACCGTTAAGTGTCTAAGTCCTAGCCTGATTTTCTTTTCCAAAATGCAGCACCTCACATTTATCTAAATTAAACTCCACCTACCACTCTGCAGCCTACCAGCCCATCTGATCAAAGTCCTGCTGTACTCTGATTTAACGTTCTTTGCTGTCCACTACAACACCAATTTGGTGTCATCTGCAAACTTATTAACCATACCTCCTATATTCACTTCCAAATCATTTATATAAAGGACAAAAAGCCAATCCCCCTGACACACTGCTGGTCACAGGCCTCCAGTCTGAAAAGCAACCTTCCACCACCACTCTGTTTCCTACCTTTGAGCCAGTTCTGTATTCAAATGTCTAGTTCTCCCTGTATTCCATGTGATCTAACCTTCCTAACCAGTCTACCATGCAGAACCTCGCCTTACTGAAGTCAATGTAGATCACGTCCACCACTCTGCCTTCATCAATCCTCTTCATTTTTTTTGAAGCTTTTAAAAAGTAAAGACATGATTTCCCACGCATAGAGCCATGCTGCCTATCCCTAATCAGTCCTTGCCTTTCCAAATACATGTAAATCCTATCCCTCAGGATCCTTCCAACAACTTGCCCACCACTAATGTCAAGCTCACTGGTTCCTGGCTTTTCCGTACCACCTTTCTTAAATAGTGGCACCACATTTGCCAACCTCCAGTCTTCCGGCACCTCACCTATGGCTATCGATGATACAAATATCTCAGCAAGAGGCCCAGCAATCACTTCCCTAGCTTCCCAAAAAATTATAGGGTACACCTGATCAGATCCAGGGGATTTATCCACCTTTATGCATCTTAAGTCACAAATTCTAAAACACGGGGGTTCACTTAAGATACTCAGCTTAGATATTGCTATCATATTGGTATTTGCACCAATGCAATACACTAGTGAATATATGCTTAAAATAATATGTCAATGAATTATGTAATTTTCTAAGTTGTCACTTATGTCAGTAGCAACAGTTAATGCTATTGAATTATCCGTCATCATTTTTACATTTTGCTCCAAAATGGACCATTTAATAGCAACGTTATAAAAGAAAGTTAACATACAATTCTTAATTTCCTACTAAGGTTACATATACCGTAGTTCAGTTGTGATTTTCCTAGAATTAGTATTGTAAACAGCAAAATGAAAACACTTCAGTTCTATTTTGTTCAATGAACATTTTTGATCAAAACAGAAACCTATGACAGAAACCTATTGGTGTACTAGCATTCTTTAAAACTCACAAAGACCCAAAACGTTAACTCTGATTTTTTCTTCACAGATGCTGCCAGACCTGCTGAGCTTTTCCATCAACTTCTGTTTTTGTGCAAGGAAGACCTTAACCACATTAACAATCAGAATTTTGTTTCACTGCACCCAACTCTGAATTACTTGACCCAAAACTGAAATCTTACTAGGGGGTAATCATGGTACAAAACTGACTCTTACCAACACAGGAAATCAAAATTACCGTGGTGCTAGAAAATAACTTAAGTGATTGACACACGCAACTATGTTGCGCAACTTATTGCGAAATTGCAAAACTGTATATTACCATGCAGGTAATGTTAAGTACAGTACCAAATATTAAATCGGTACACAGAGTAGTGCTGATGAGCTTCCCATTCAAATTGGACCCAGGGACAAGGCGTTTTCCGAGCGCCCTCCGTAATGTTATCTGATACCATACACTGTACGCAAGTCCGATAAACTGTGGTCGAATTTGTAATTTCACTTCCGCGTCTGCGATTCTCACAACCAGCCGACATCAGGTGCTCATATCTTAGGCCGCGGGCAGAATCTTACCGAAGATTCTTCATACATGCAAAAATGCAACTCGCTAAAACCCAATCAAAACCAGAAATGCTACAAGTTTCCTCACACCATTGCAGTGTGCAACAAGCAGATTAGGCTGTGTCAGCGTCAAAACTTATAACCTCGAACAAGTTTAAAGTATCAAAATGCGATTAAGTAAAATAAAACACTTTAGAAATTAAAGTTTGAAATTTGAGACCTAAAAAAAGTGACAGCGTTGTACTTTTTGCAACTAACTCAGGTGTGGAGTGGGTACGAATGAGGAACTGGAGTTACCGGGATCGCTCTCTTACCAGGTTAAATATGGTTTCAACGACGTCGCGATTGGTCACTTCACCGGCTTGCATTAGACTTGTCAGTACGGCGAATTTCATCCGGATCCCACGAATAGGTACAGGCGGGTTAAGGCCCAACGAGATAGCTGCGTCGCCAGCTGGTGAGGTTTTGGTGCTGGAGGGGCGAGGAACATGACCCCTGTCCGCCGCCTGCTCCCCTTGTACCGTTGCCGTTTGGCCTCCCCGGGAGTCAGCGAGCTGCGGATGTTCATCCTCGCTCGACATGGCGATTCACCCGAAGAAGAGACCTGGGGGTGCGGTAGAATATGCTAGAAAAAAAATACCACCGAGAGACAACTTCAGTTGGGCTCCACAAACAGGCACAGGCTCGGCTCGGGTGGCTCTACACAGAGCCTGCTCGAGCTGGTGACAGACGCTGCCGCTCGCTAGCCGCGCGCTGTTCCCTCTTCTTCCTCCCTTCCACCTCTGGCAAATTCGCAGCTCGTGCAGTATCGAGTTCGGAAATGTGGAAAAACAACGACCAGAAGTATGGTGCACTAACGGCTAAATTCTTTTCCTCGTTCCCTTCACGCCGCCATGACAGCGTCAGGCAACGAACTCCAGCTTCTGACAGTGCGCGCCAGGCGGCGAACGGGAGGGATGTCTACTGCGCATGTACATCCGGGCAGGTGTATTGGCCAACGCGCAGCCCAGGTAGATATGGAGGTGTGTGCTTGTGTGTGGGCATGGGAGGGGAAAGTATGCAAGGGCACAGAAGGAACGTGAAAGGAGTGTCAGATGACAGACTGGGAAAGGCAAATAAGAGGAGAGAGAGGACAGGACGGCCACGGACAGCAAGCGCCCTTCAGATTCTCTGCACGTCGACGGTAGCGCCATCTGCTGCGTGGGTGGATTTGCCGAACTTGCATGTTTTCATGTCGCACCAACTTTAGGGAAGTTTTTTTTCGCAAACCGTAATTAGTAAGCGCGGTCGTTTAACTGACAATTGCTACAACTGTTGGAAATGTGAAATAAAAACCAGAAAATGCAGGGCAGTATAGATTACATCTGCAAAGAGAAGAGGGGATAATATTTCAAATGTGGGCCGATCGTCAGAGGTTGAAGGCTTAAAACAGATGAGGTTGAGGAGTAGTGAAGCTGCAGTGGGATTTATTCACAAACTTGAGGCATTTGTTAGATAACAGCCAATGTGAGGAATCAACGAGAACAGTGGCAGTTAGTAAATAGGGGTAACAAAGTTTTAGATTATCAAAATTTTATGGAAATCCAGAGACTGCAATCTGTAGGTAACGAAGACTCCAACACAAGTCTGTCAACGCTCGCATACCGTTCTGACATGGGTTTATATACCTTATTAGATTCAATTTACAGTCCAGAGACTCCAGAAATACTAAAATATTTATATTGTGTCTTTGACAGTGAAAGGATATCCCAGACGCTGGCAGCAAAGAAGTACTAAGGGTCTAATGCATTAGAGGTGTCATCTTTAAACAGATATTAAACACCTGCCCTCTTGAGTGGATGTAGTGACATTATTTTGAAGAGGGACAGGCGGTTTTCTCCAATGCCCTAGCCAATATGTATTTTCAAAACTATAATTAAAATGAACTGTTGAGAAGCATGAACCATGGAAGAAATTTGGTAAATGCAGTTAGGAAAAGGCATAGAGATTGGGAGGGCACAATTTAAAATGAAATAGAAGAGTTGACACATTATGGAGGGAAGAATTTGAGGAAAAAGAGAATGCCAAAGCTGAATAGCTTGAAATGGACATAATTTGTTGGAAAATTAAGGCTGGCACAGAACAGAGACATATGGAAAAAAGACTGAGACAAGGATCTGCCATCAGATGGAGCACATATAATGATGACTACACTGCTTCGGGCTATCCTAGGATCATGAAAGGCATCATAAGATTTTCTTTCTTTCGTCTTACTTAGATCAAAAAATTAAGCAGTGTTAGTATCTCTTATCTGATTAAGAAGGTTCAAGGCCGATTCCAAAATTTTGATCTTATAACCTGTTTAACAATTCAGTCCAGTAATGAGAGAGAAGTTCAGTCTTTTGGATGTTATTTTAAAAAAAGACCTCACTGCAGGACGGAGATGATTGTAATGTATATTGTATTCCATGGCTGTTGTAAAAAAAACTCTCCCAACTTTTATCTTTCAAACAAACATTTATCAGATTATTTATGTAATTGCCGTTTTTGAAACATTTCAGCACAATTTGTGCACAGCACTTATTACAATAGTGACTATTCTCAGGTACATCATTGCTTGTGAAGTGCTTTGGTAGGTACGTGAAAGGTGGGGCTATAATGCAAGGTTTTATTTCAATTTCACTCGACAAATTTACTGATGCTTCAAAAATATCTTTCATATATGAATTTCCATCCCATCCCGATCAGCAAGATAGGTGGGGGTGTGGATATACCTAAACAACATTTTTTGAATTGCTGTCATCCCTGTGGTTTAGGAAGAAATACAAAATATAGGAGCAGGAAATAGACCATTCAGTCCTTCAAGTTTTCTCCCCATTCAATATGATCATGTTTGATATTCCAACTCAGTACCCTTGTTCATGTTTTCTCTCCATATCCTTTGGCCTGAAGAACTATATCTATCTCCATCTTGAAAATATCCAGAGTTCTCCACTTAATGCCATTGTGGGAGTGCTGTCTCCAAAAGACTGCAACAATTTAAGAATCCAACCTTAATCTTATTAGGATAATTGCAATTGGGAAATAGATTGGTACTGTCATCATTGCCTCCATCCTGAGAATAGGAAATAAAAATGTTGCTGATACTGTAAGTACTTTAAAGGAAAATGTGGATTAATTGTCAGGCACAACTGTCAAAAAGATAATTGGAAAGTCGGTGGCAATAAGTTACTAGGTCTAATGACATGTAGCCTATAGTGTTCCTATTTGGTTTTATGAAAGGGAAATCCTTAATAGTGCTTTTGACAATGTGGCTAGTGGAATGTCACAGTCAGTAATGTGTCTCTGAGCCAAATGCTCTGGATTGATGGTCAAGGAAGGTGCATTCATAGCATGGATAAACATGCTGAGTATCAACTTTATAAATCCTTCCAGCATAATCAAATGGCAGGTGTTAAGAATGTGGGAACCAACTGATCAGCCATCTGCAAAAGGCAATAGCAAACTACAATAGTATCTTGCTGAACAGAACCCCAGGCCTTCTCAGACATCTGTTGTTGTCAATACCTTTACAATGCATGGTATCTCAAGAGATAGAGGGAACTAATAATGGCAATAAAGCAAAACAAATAGTTGGAGGAGAAATGTATTAGCATACACAGAGGATTAGTTCATAGAAGGTAGGTATAAATGGGGCATTTTCAATTTGGCAGGCTGTGATTTGTGAGAGGGAAGACTGGCAGGTCAGTAAGGTGGCAGATGTGTTTGGTGATAGGGATGTGTGGAGGTTGTGAATGGGTGGTTGGGTAGGGTGACAGATGTGTGAGGAAGTAGGCTGGTAATTGGATGGGTGAGAAGTAGGTGTCAGGAATGTAAGGTGTTAAGGGTTGAGTGATCGGGTATCCCAGGTGGTAAGATATCCAAGATGTTGTGGTCAGACAGATGGAAATGTGGGAATGATTGGATGTCCAAGAAGGTAGAATTTTCAAACGTGCGTGTGGAGTAGTAGGAGTTTGTTGGGTGTTGAGATGGGGGAGAATATCAAGAGTTATAATGTGAAAGGGTGGTCAAGTGTCAGGGGTTGTTGGGTTTCTGTATTGTTGGTTGAGTGTTCAGTGGGAGTTAGGTGTCAGATCTTTGGAGATGGGGTGTGAGTGTGAGTCATTTAGTGATCAGTTTTAAAGTTAGCCAGGAATTAGCACATATATGTTAATTCTTCTAACTTCCCTCACTAGCTATAAAGGCCAGTAAGTCAAAACCCTCCAAAGTTCCCAAATTTGAGATCAGTACTTTTCCAGAGGGTTCCAGTTGTGGGGTAATTGCTCATCAGAAGTTTTCACTTCGTGGGCAAATTCCATACAGTCAGTGTTCCAGGATTTTCAAGAGGTCCTGCAGCACATCTGTCAGGTTATGTTTCGTCTCTGACTAGAGACCAGAGATCGGGTCCTTATAATTTATTTTTGTCTAACGTCAGTTGTGCATAAATTCATAAAATACAAAATTGAATTTCATAATAATGAGTAGTTAGAATCCAGGAATAATTGAGAATGTTCATGTCAATTTGTCATTCTGATTCTATTTGATCGATGTGATAGTTCAAGAAGTGTCCAATAGGAAATTAATTGAAAACTGTAGGTTTTCAGAGGCTATCAAATAAGGTGTCTCATGCAACATGTTGCAAAAATACAGATGGATGGTATATGATATAGTTTGGCAGAAAATTAAACCAAAGTTAGCATTAATGGTTTTGTTCTCAGACTAGGTGAGGGGAAGAAAACATTGTATTATTAGAGCAAGTTCTAGCTGCACTGCCCTTCAGGTTATTTCAATTTGCATACAAGGAGCATGACCTTGAAATTTACTGATCAAGCAAAAGTAAGGAGTTGGCAAACTACAATGATTAAAGTTAATAGTTTTAGTAGAATATACACAGATGAGTAGAATGTTGAAAAATATTTGTTAGGAATAGTATCATCAAGTGAGAGAATTAAATTAGTGTGAGGAAGGTTTTTGCAACAGACTTTTGGAGCAGCAGCAGCAAGGAATGGATACATGCTGAAGTATGTATTTGAGCCAAGAGCCCAAAGGATTTGTATACTGGGTCAAATTTTATGGGCCAGGCCTACGTGGAAAAGCAGATGGGTGGACCTGTAAAATGAAGTATCATGCTGTTGGTAGCACATCCACTACAAACCTGCAAACGCTTACCACAATTTTACAAGTAGAATGGGAGGGTAATAGGTACACTGCCTGAAGAAGCCAAGTCATTATCAGGCAACATACCTAAGTGAGGAGCATAGCTGGAGCCAGACAGCAGAGTATGAGTGTAGTCTATGCAACTTGCGTGTGGGCTGTAAAGCCATAACCTCTAATTTAGTCCCAGTTCCCGTTTTGGGTGGTAGAGGGTAACTGCAAAGCATGGGATTGATGCTGATGGTTAACCAGGCAAGTTGTCTTGCTGATTCATCTCCCAAGAATCCAGCCTCAGTTACAATGTGTCTTCCCAATTAAGACTCCACATGGGGTTGCTACTTAGTAATCTGCAGATAGCCAATAACCCATAGGGCTGGAAGTAAGGCACAACAATACATCGCCCAGCATC